CCGTCGATTATGCTAATAGTGCAGTGCTAAAAACACAGTTAGAAAAGCTTAATGCTATTAGGAAATTTAAAAAGGTGCCTTAATTTGAGATAATAAAATAATGTGAAAATGTTCCAAAGAATAGAACCATAAATGGCATTTTAAGGCAATAATTCAACTTAAGCAATTCCAGGAAACAATCAATTTCGACTGCAAGTGGAAACTCCAAATGCATCGATATATAATCGTGACATTTAAATCTATTCTAGATTATGAAATAATGTACCTACATATGTATATACACATAAAAGTTTTGAATACTTTATTTTTATTTTTATTTTTATACATATGTACATACAAAAATGTTATGGTGTTGGGAAAAGACTGAGGTCAATCCCTTTTTAAATAAACTATACTCTGCATGCACAAACATACATATGTAAATATGTACATACATACATATGTATGTATGTATATAGACAAGTGTGTGGATAAATATAAATGGTTGTGAGAACTCGTGTGACAAAAATTATGCTAATTCCAAACACTTAAATTTTCCGCAATACAAATGTTTTTACTACTGACAGGAAATGGAACACATGTACATACATACATACAAACATGCTAACATACCTACATATTTGAAATCGAACTTACCCAGCAAGCAAAATAAACTGCATATAAATAAGCATTAACCAGAAGCCGTTAATAAAAGTAATTGAATTAAATCGCAACGGCAGCCAATTTTGGTAATCGCTTATTAATTATAATTACATTTCAGAATGCGTGTACATATGTATGTGCATATGTTAAAATAGCTGTAACATATAAAGTAAGTTGTGAATACAAACTTCTCGTTGATTTTACGCACTGCACGTTTTTGCTGTGAAGTTAGGAGAATTATTAAGAAATTAGTTTTATAAATATCTTAAAGATCGATTATTTAAATTTGATTTTCTAACATCTGGCAACCCTTTTCAAAAAACTAAAACCACGTACAAGCAAAAAAGCCCTTTTATATATAAATATTTGATGACAGGAAGAATCGTGGTGTTAAATATTTAACGCGTTAAACCTCCGGCCTCAATTAAGAAGTTTAATATCAATAAAAGTCCCGTATAATTATTAAGAGAAGACGTATGTAAATCATTTACGTCTTGAAATAAACGTCCCGAGAGACGAAAAAATTTAAAGTCCTATATAATTATTATGAGAAGATGAAAATAATTGCAATGGTGAAATAATTATTAGGAGAAAGTGAAAAAGTCTTTAGTCTAACGATTTCCGTCTGAGGAGACAAAAACAACGTTTCCATTGTTCAGTAAAAACACGATGCTACAAAAAAAGTCATGAAATACACCCGAAACAAAACCTAGTGCAGGTTGTAGCTACCCTGCAGGAAATGGAACTAACTATAAGCTAACTTTAAGTGGATTAGGAAGGAGCTAAAAGTCGCTATTATCTGTATATTTGTATGGCGATGGCCGCGAAATAGTCAAGGGGGGTTTACCTCTGCATTAGATGTAGTCAAGGGTGGTTTCCTCTGCATTTGATGTAACTAGCTTGTAACTAACTACCTTTGGACATAAAATATCAATATGAAAAACTAAATAATTTTTTATATTTTTGTTTTATTTACTTTATTTATTTTATTACATTTCATATTTGTTTATATATTCTGCTGTGAGTGGTCCCATATTTGAACTCCGTCAGACATAACTTCAAAATTACAATATGAAATTTCGATCTTCCCTTTATTTGTCCTCAGTTCGAAAAAGTATTTGCGAAGTACAGGATATTTAAATAGAAACGCGTTTAAAGAAAACAATCTCCTGCATTACTCCTACATTACTAGTCAACTAGTTTCAAGTTAGCTTTTTGTAGCCAACTACAAGTTATATAATTTATAGAAATCCCGCAAAAAAAGCGAACTACAAGTTTGTTATTTTTTATCAATTGATAATTTT